GCAATTCAATGTTATCAGAGTGCGGCTTACCACACTTCCTGTGCCTTGTATTAAAAAGCTAGAACTCTGGATTGTATTCCCTGTTCCATGTAGAAGGGAGGGTTCTTTTTCTATTAACACTATTCAGTGTTACTTACATCTAGAGCACAGATGGATCCAAGCTACAAAATTTAGATCTAGATTTCAACCACCACAAAGTGTGGAGGTGCTCAGATTTGCCTTCGTTATAGTCTATCAGAAATAAAGGCCAGCCACCAAATTCAGATTCATACTCAGACATTGAATCCTCCCAATGCTGGGGGATCTCTGGATCTCTCACAAAGAGGAAAAAGACCTTTCTGCCTGTAAACTATCTATGGTTCTAATGTTCCCTCCGATTGTCTCTATTTTAATCAAAATGCCCTTTCCCAGAGTATAGCTGAAGTTATACGCTGCTCCTCCAAACAAAGGCAGGTTTTAAATAAAAGTAAAACATAGTAGGACTGGCTTTTTCAAGGCAAGAGATAAATGAAGACTACAAGCTAAGAAACACAAGAAATATAATAACAAATTAGGCAGAGATGTAATCAAATGGGTGCCTGGCTCCACATAATGTATCTGAGCTATTGTAGCAACAAGTTGATGTTCCCTAGGAAACATCATGTGTAAATCTTCCTATATGGAATCCAGGAAATGGGGCATGTTAAATTGATCTTAATTCTTAGGAACTTAGTGGCATTCCAGTCCTAAATGCCAAACTTTCAGAAGTTCATGCTATGGGCCAGCACACAGCAGGGCTGAATACTTGTCTACATCCTCCCCCCTTGGGTGATTTGACCCTCTCCCCACGGAGTGCTGGAAGAAGAGTATTTCCTTGCTGTATCCTATGCAGAGCCAGAACCAGTCTGGCTTTGTTTGACTTGCAGCAAGTACCTGGGATAAAGGGCAATAAAAAGATCTAGTAATTTCTATAGGATTTTTCCTCATATTTTAACAGACAGGAAATACAGGATTAATTTCAGTCTAGTGTTTAGCAATCAGAACACATGCAGCAACTTTTCACTTCACTCTACCTGAAGGAAATATTTAGTGCTACACCCTCTAATGGTTTCAGTGGAGCTCCAATGCATCTTAATGGAGCTGGTTCATTACCCCAGCTGAGGTCCTTAAAATCCAACTTCCAGTCAACCTGTTTTACAAATATTTAAATAACAAGAAGAGAAAATTTGCTACAGAATGAAGAGGTAAATTATGAATGAGAAGAAAAGTACATTGATAAATATCCCCCTGGCATGCCAAGTTATAGCTAAACTACAGAAACATGTAAGAGGGCCCCTCTTCATTGCAACAGCTAGCCTGAGCTAGTATACTCAAGATACTCTATTCCAACAAGTGAGGGTGATGACCACACTGCAAACCACACTGGAGCTTCACAGAGCAATTGGATTAACAGAGTGATTGTATTAGCATGAGTTCTTGTAACTTTAGCTGCTGCATTCCTACTGCATTACCAGCTCCAATGTCAGCAGCACTCCAACTTCAACCCACCCAAGAAGGCCAGCTGGCAGGAGTATAAAGCACCCCTTAACTCAGGGGTTTTCAAATGGGAGATCGTAACCCATCAGGACATCGTGAGGTTATTATGTGGGGGGCCACGAGCTGTCAGCCTCCACCCCCAAACCCCACTTCACCTCCAGCATTTATAATAGTGTTAAATATAAAAAATGTGTTTTTAATTTATAAGGTGGGGTGGTCACTACTACAGAAGTTTGAGAACCAGTGACCTACCTTAAGCTAAAGACAATACTGTGTGTAAGGGAGTTGGGTTAGGGCAAAACTCAAGTTATAGTTTGAGCTATCAATGCAGTGAAGACAAGCCCATACAAATTTAGAATTCAGACAAGGGGAATATCTATCTCCTTGATAGTGTGGAATTGTTCTCTATGAGATATTTCTAGTGCTTTGTCCAGACTGCTTTTAAATAACCTGAGCTATGAGGCTTCCACTACTTCTTTGGATCTGAGATCTCACAGTGGAGAAGTCTTTCCTGATATTCAGATTCAATTTTCCTCCTCTTAATTTCAGCCCAAACGGTCCCTTAGCAGGTTACCAATAACAGAAAAAACAGGTGAACTCCAGTTTCACGGAAATAGTAGTGAATGTCTGAAGCCTTAAAATCACAATTTCAGAATAACGGATTTTGGATTAAATAAAAATTTGGATTCAGGGCAAGACACAAATTTCAGGTAACATACAGATTCAGATATGTGGCGTTTGGAAAATCAGGGTTTGCCTGAAATTAAATAAGTTAATAAATAATAATAATAATTGATATTTTACTAAAGAAGTTAAACAAAAGCCAGTATTCTTAGACAATTGGTCATAAAATTGATATTTTGAGAAATTCACTTGGTTTGTTGGAATTTTTAGGACTCTGATATTCCTTTGCAGCTTTCCCTGCAGTACTCTGGGCAGGGACTGTCTTCTTTGTACAGGACCTAGCACAGTGAGTCCCCAATCTTTGGTTAGATTCCAAGGTGCTATCATAATAAATAATATTAAATATATCTGGCACTGGGATGATCCAGCTGACTGAGAACTGGAACATTTATAGCATTATGTAAGTAGGAGGACATTTTGATTTCAACTCAGGGTTTCCAAACCAGATTTTGAAAAGCAAAATCTTGAATCCCGGCCAATGGGAGTGTGGAGCCGGTGCTCGGGGCGGGGACAGTGCGTGGAGCCCCGTGGCCCCCCGCCTAGGAGCCAGACCTGCTGCTGGCCACTTCCGGGCACAGCGCGGTGTCGGAACAGGTAGGGACTAACCTGCCTTAGCCAGGCAGCACTGCCAACGGGACTTTTAATGGCCCGGTCGGCGGTACTAACCAGAGCCGCCACGACCCAGTGCCTTACATTCCACGACCCAGTACTGGGTTGCGACCCACAGTTTGAAAACCACTGGACTAGATTATAATGACCTTAAAATCTGTTCATTTATTCTAAACTGTACCAGTGGGCCTCCTTTTGGACAGAGGCCATTCTTCTTTTTATTTTCAATGTACTCTTTGCTAGAGCTGGTTGAAATTTTTTGAATGAAAAAGATGGAGGAGAGTAATCAAGAAGTGGTGGGTTGGTTTTTTTGTTTTTTGAAAATGAAACACTTTGCAAAAAATATTGACTTTTAATTTTATTTTTACATTTTATCAATTTTTTTTATCCAAAACATTATCAAAATCATTACTGAAATCTTTCATTGACCCCAAACCCAACACTTTCCATTAATGTTTTTCTTTTTGTCTTTTGTCCATCCAGCTCTAGTTTTGCCCTCTTTGATACTTCCAGCTTGTATCAGTTCAGGTAATGAGTTGGCCACACCAGGATCAAGAGATAATTCTCAATGTTGCCAACACAGTTGTCTCCCCATAAGAAGTTTACATGATTATAATGGGGCATGGAGGGACAGAAATATTATTCAGAGAGCTAATGTCAAGGTGAGCCTATATTTATACATATTTCCATTGGTGGTGGTAAGTGATTTCCATCTGACTTTCTTACCATCCGAGAGATCAATATTTGGACAGGTGTTCAATGTACACCCCTCATCTGCTCCACTGGTATTGTTTGAGCACTGTGGTCAGACAAGGCAGACATTTCCTTTCACAGTTGGCTAATGGGTACAATCTTCTCATTTCCATATTTAAATACACATATGTGTGCTTATCATCTTTGATCCTCTATATCTCAGTAAAGACTACATCAGCCAGGGCTCATTCTTATGGTTGCTTTTACAATCTTTTATTTCAGAAGAATGAAAATGGGGAGAGAGAAAAACTAACCTAGTTTGGTTCCCAGACAACTGAATTGTAGCAATTTTATACATATGGGGCCTGATGCTGATCCCCTCGCACAATCCAGCTAGTACTTTACTCTGTGAGTAGCCCCACTGATTTGAATGAGACACTGACAGATATGGCAATTTCTTCCATAATCTTGGGAGACCTTATTAAGTTTAAATATCTTTAGGGATACACTGTGTTAAAATGAAAAGTTTATGTATTATGCCATAGGTCGTATAGCCATAAGCCAGGATTGTATGTAACCTCTTTAGGGGAAGATGTGATGTGAGGCCTGGGAGTTCAAAGGTCCATATTGAAAATGTGCCAGAGAAGAATAGACTTTGGTCTCAATAAGTGTGAAGTGTATTTCCTGGGGAATACCTAGGGAGAGGTTAATGCAAATTCTCCACCCCCAGTTATGTAAAAACCCAGCCTTTTGAAGCTACAACCTGAGGAGTGGGTCATTGTCTGCTGATTGCCTGTTCATGGAGATTGGAGATCAAAGGCACGAGCTGTATAAAGTTGTGGTTTTGAAGGACTAACATCTACCAGAGCCAAAGGTTGGAGTTGGGGATGACCTCTAATCAGCTTTTTAGCATGCATGCAGGTTCTTTTATATTTTTAATGTGTTTTGTCTGTAATACTTTCACCTTAAGAATAAATGTGCTTGCTTAGAAAGAGCTATGTGGTAACTTATAACTGCAAGCAATACACTGGTCATAGCCTCTAGAGGGAAAGCAAAGTGCAGACACTGGCCTTTTAGGCAGTCTGGCTTGCTGGAGATGTCACAGTGTAAATCAGGGAGCTGTGCAGCCTTAATACCCTAGTCAGCAGGGAACGAGACAGGGGTTTCTGCCCAAGAAAGGTGACAGCTGAGGAGCCGGGAGCCTAGAGTGGGTGCCCTTGGTAGACCATGAGGAGGGGAATGCAGGTGCAGTTACCCCGAAACTGTAACAGAGACTATTCACAGAATAATATTATTACACAATTTCAGCAAGAGCATCAATGTCTGGCCCATAGTGTTTTAAGCATCACTTCACCCATCTTCAGGGACTTCCTCAGACTATAGCAAAATGAGTACATACTTCTAATCTGTTCTCACCTTCTTGGTTAAAGAAACAAACAAACAAACAAACAAAAACGCTGACAGTTTTGACAAGATGGTTAATTAATGGCAGTACTTACAGTTGCATGACCAGGTACAAGTGGTTTGGACTCTCATATATGTCTTCCAGTGCAACTATATTTTCATGTTTTATTCTGAAAAGCAATAACAACAACAACAAAAGGTAAGTGCAAGGTTAAATGGTGAACTTTAAGCAGCTGCCCAACAGAAAGCTATTTTTAGTTAGATGTTATTTGGCGCTTGCGATTTACACAGTCAGACCTGAACCCAGTTCCGTATAAGCTGTCAGGAGTGCCTGGCAGCCCAGGATACTGTTATTACTTAGCTAGCAGGAATGTTTCATGATTGAAATATTTAAAGCATTAGACTTTTTTCTTCTTCTCTCAGATGAATAAAATGAACATCCAAGGTGGTATTTGGATGTTGAGTTCTCAGGGCAGTAGCATATCACAGTACAGGGATTTGCAAACTGTAGATTTACTGAAGCCAGTGTGCAGTTAGTAGCCAAGAGTGCAGGGATATGCATATATACAGATGCTGACAGCAGTGTTGACATCTGAGAGGCCACAGCTGTACAAAATCCTCATACTCCAAGTGGCTCCATTCCAACACAACACCCCATATACAGCATCTTCTCAGCACTTCCTCACAACATTGTCAATCAGAACAATATACTTTATGCTTCAACGGCGCTTTCCACCCACAGATCTCAAGCACCATAATAAATTAATTATTCAAACCGTGACTCCCTAGTATTGTCATGACCCTCATATAGAAACCTTCTTATAATTTAAAAAGCCAGCTGAGTAGTTGGTATCAGGGCACAGATCACTGCTGCTTGGTATCACTGGGCCCCTGCTTTGTTAACAGTGTTAACTTTTAGAGGAGAATCACCTCATCAGACAACAATCTCATTAACTACTTGGAGCAAATCTTCTCTGGGATTATTGCTTAAGCAATTCCAAACAATTTCTAAAGCATACATTTAAGTTGTATTAACCCTAAACTTAAGACCCTAAAGAGACTAACCATTTAACTGCAAGGGCTATAATATTAATTATACAAAGTGGAGACGATTGCCTTAAGTGTGAGAGAAATCCCTGAAAAACTGTAAGCTGAATGTGCTGATTAAAGAACATACACACACTCACACACACAGGCAGAAAGAATAGCAGAGGACACTCATCAGTGAATGGTAAACCCGGTAAACTTTTTGGGGCATAATCCACCCCAAACTTATGAGAGATGCAATTAGGTACACAAAGCCCAATACTGAGCAGCGCTAAAGCGTCCGACACTCCCACTGAAGTTGATGAAAGTGCTGAGTAGTCAGCATCCTGCAGGCTCTGCCTCATCATAATGTGCACATATTGGGTTGGTCCAGCTTCCAGTGAGATCACTGGAAAGATTGCCATAGACGTCAGTGAGAGAGAGAGATCAGACCTACATTCAGGAATGAAAAGCCACATTCATATAAAAGACAAAAAGAAATGATCTGCCTTAAAACCTCCATATTCAGGAAGTTCCGTATCAGTGGCGTATTAACCCAAATCTAACATGCTGTAGGATATCATACAGCAATATATGTGTGGCTATAGGTCTTCTGCTCTCCGGAAGGATCTGAAAAATCCTTTGTTGCTCCAGTAAACTGTCCAGAGAAACCGCATCATAGCTCAAGCATTATAATATTCATAAGAGAGCACTGAAGAAGATAAGCTTTTAAGTCTTAATTCTGGTGTGCAGGAATGGATGTCTAGTATCTTGGCTTTTCTATGGAAATTTTCCAAAATTATATAGAGCAGCTGCCTTAAAAAATTTCTTCAGTCACCTGTCCTGTCTCATCCCAAAACTCAAAAGATGATAACAGGAAAGCAGGACTCCCTGGTGCCTGATTTTCATGATGAAATGATGAAAGAGGCAGTAACTGAGCAGATCAACCAGCTGTGTGTTTTTTCCAACCCTCGCTGACTTGATGTCATTTACATTCTAAGCTGGATTTGTTTGTATTTAAATAAATACACAACATCAGCCCTCAATATGGATCGAGAGTTTGTAAAATTCCATTAGGAAGAACACAGCCAGTTTTGCCGCAGTGGCTCCATCAGATCAGCAGAATCGGCAGCTGCCTGGCCTGCAGAACATGTAGGAACCATTTATCTGGTGTGGCTCTGTGATGTGACAAGCAGGCTTTTTTTTCAGTTTGCCTCAGGCAACTCAAGACCACAAGGGCCTGATTTTTGGAAGTACAGAGAAGCCACAATGCTACTTGAAGTCAATGGCTCAACACCTCTGAAAATCAAGCCCTAAGGCTAGAGCTACATTTTTGAGCTAAGGGAGTAGAAAGCATCTCCCAAACAGTCAACTTTTATTTTTATCCTGGCAGGGTGGAGGAGGGCTGGAAGGTCTACATTTTAAGTTAAAAACTCTTCAAAGAAAAGAGAAGTTCACAATAAATGCTCGTAATACCTACTACGCTAGCAAGAGCGGCTAGAGAAGGCATATGTGCTTATTACCAACTTGCTGGCTCTCTCAATGAAGGCCAAAGATGATCAAGCTCTATACCTTCCAGCAGAAATCACTATAATCAATGGGAACCACTGATTGTTCATCTGCAGTGACATTCAACTTGAGCAGAAATATAATTTAAAAAACAACAGGAAAGAGAAATTGCTTCAAGTTCTGATAAAGAATGATTAAACTTTCTTCAGTGGCGCACCCACCTGATTGTGGTAATGGACATGTGTAAGCAGGATAAGCGACAAGCCTGGTGTACCAGATGTGTGTGTCTCTCTCTCTCAGCACAATTCCCTGGCTCAGAACATCCAGAAAATGGCTGGATACACCAAGCATGTCCTTGCATTCCATTCACTTGAATAGATGTTCTGTTAGATCAATTGCTGAGGATTGTTTAGTGGGAATTAAGGAGGTACTTGACAGTGTTGGAGCAAGAGAGAGCGTGGAATGGTTTAATTAGTTCTGCTTTTATCCTGGGCTAGTAGTGCAGTGTGAATCTCAAAAGGTTCAGAGGATTCATTCTGATAAGCCCCAAAATGTCTGGATGCATATCCATGTGTGATTTATCTTATCTTAGGTACTTACCTGGTCCGCATAACTGCAGTATCTGAGCACCACACAGTCTGATGTATGTATCCTCCCAACACCTCTGTGAGGTAGGGCATTGCTATTATTCCCATTTGACAGATGAGGAACTGCGGCACAAAAAGACTGACTTGTCCCAGGTCACACAGGAAGTTTATGGCAGAGCAGAGACATAAACCCATGTTAACCACTGGCCATCCTTCCTCTCTTGAACTTTCCTGTTCCCTCTCCTCTCTTGCATAGTCATCTCCTTCCCTCCTTCTCACTCTAATTTAAGGTTTCGCGTGCCAGTAATACATTTTAACGTTTTTAGAAGGTCTCTTTCTATAAGTCTATAATATATAACTAAACTATTGTTGTATGTAAAGTAAATAAGGTTTTTAAGTATCAGAGGGGTAGTTGTGTTAGTCTGGATCTGTAAAAAGCAACAAAGAGTCCTGTGGCACCTTATAGACTAACAGACGTATTGGGTATTCACCCACGAAAGCTTATGCTCCAATACGTCTGTTAATCTATAAGGTGCCACAGGACTCTTTGTTGCTTTTTAAGGTTTTTAAAATGTTTAAGAAGCTTCATTTAAAATTAAATTAAAATGCAGAGCACCCCAGACTGGTGGCCAGGACCCAGGCAGTGTGAGTGCCACTGAAAATCAGCTCGCGTGCCACCTTTGGCCCGCGTGCCATAGGTTGCCTACCCCTGTCCTAGAGTATGCTACCCCACCCTAGACTTCATGGGAGAGTCCTGATTGCCACACATCCGTTCCACTTCCTGCTAACTGGAAGAGATAAAAAATGGACCCTGTATTTATTCTGAGCTAGACAACATATTGATGTTCCAGCACTACTTAATGACACAACATTATGACAGGACCATGGCAGTGACAGCACAGTGTGTAGATACCATAGAGCTGACAGTTTAGATTAGAAAAATAACGTCCACAAAGAAAAATACCTTGGTTAAAAAACAGTTATGGTTGCTTTAAAGAAACCTCAGCCTACACAAATCATTACAAAATGTGTCCAGTTAAGGCATCCTCCAGTAACAGACCTCGGCCCTCCCACACATCACATTCACCATTTTCACAGACAGGTACTGTCCCTCTATAGACAAATCCTGTGCACCTCCATCATGCAGGCAAAACACACACCATGTTGTCCTTCATGATTAGTGTCCCTGTCTGTGAAATGGATTTAATACTGCCTACTTCACAAGGTTCATGAAAACGGTTCACACAACATTTGTAAGGTGCTGAAATAGAATGAGGATGTCAATAAATAAATCAAAGGAAAAGGCCTCTAGTCTCATTCCATCATTCTGCATCTCAAATACCAGGCACTAAAGGGCTTTTCCAGCTAGTGGAGAAAGGCATAACAAGAACCAATGGCTGGAAGCTACAGACAGACTAATTCACATTTTTACAGTGAGAGTGATTAACCATTGGAACAAACTACCAAGGACAGTGGTGGATTCTCCAGCTCTTGATGACTTCCAATCAAGACTGGATGCCTTTCAGGAAGATATGGTTCAGTCAAACAGAAGTTACTGGGCTCAATGCAGGGGTAACGGGTGAAATTCTATATAGTCTGTGATATGCAGGAGGTCAGACTAGACAATCTAATGGTCCATTCTAGCCTTTAAAAAAACCTATGACTCTACTTACATCCCTTTTCCAAAAACAAAGGCTAGCAAAATAAAGGAAGGCAGTTACTGTATCTGCATCCGCACAAAGAGAGGGGAACAGTGCACTTGAGCAGCATCTAACACCTCAGCTGAAGCATCAAAGAACTAACCTGAGTTTATACCAGCAAATTGATATGAGCAACCAAAATGCCACCGACTACTATTCTAAAAGTAGCAGTGTACAGACAAGAGCTCCCAGGAGCTGCTTTGATTTGTTTTAAAACTTATCTATCACAATGCACTAGGTACAGGCTGGGTTTCCTTGCTCAGTATTTATTTGTTTGGCCTGACCTGTTGTAAAACAACTGAGAGCAGCTTTGATAAGCGGATCGATAGCAGGTTGTCTTCTTTCATA